CTCCAATCAATCACAATTTCTCACCATGAGTCTACAACAAACCACTCTCTAAACACAAATTAAACTCAACCCATTAATTTCACTTGGCAATACACCAATTTCTTTTAATGAAAACACAAACTAACGAACAAATTGGCTTTTTCAATTTCTGGGTTTCATAGTTTTTGAAATTGGTTTTACCTTTTGTTTCCATTTTGATTGTTCATGCATCTAAACCAACTTGCAAGAGGAGATTGAGTTTTTTCTATTGTGGAGGTGCCATATCTCTCTTAGTCTCGCTGAACTGACAGAAAAGTTGGTCATTTATGGTTCATTATGCTTCAATGAATTCGAAAAATTATTATTTGAATGTGAAGGCTGTGTGGTAAAGTTTAGGTTTTCAATTTTTTGTTTACGTTTACAAAAAAATTTAAAACTACCATTTAAACATGTTTGGTAAACTTTTTTGTTTATAAAGTATTGTAATCAGATTTTAAATTTGGGCGAATTCCGTAAACAAGAAAAAGAAGTTTTCATTGGTTTATAAACTCACGAAGGAAAAAAACATAACGACTTTGATTCTGTTTCGACTCTTGTTAGCAGCAGTATAACTAAAGCAGACTTCAACATTTATCTCTTCATCATCACCTGTCAATCCTCTCTTTTGGTCTAACTTGTTTATCGATGTGTCACTGGTCTTCATCTACAACCAGCATCGATTGATCCAGCACTGACTTTCTCCTACAACCAGTATCTATCAATCCAGCACTGATTTCTCCTACAACCAGCATCCGTCGATCGATCAAGCACTGGCCTTCGTCCACAAGCACAGATCGTTTAAGCACAAATCTATATATTTTCTGGTTAATGGGTTAATGGGTTTTCTGGTTAATAGTTAAGCACAGATCTGGTTAATGGGGTGGGTTTTTGATTTTCTGATTTTATGGTTTCTTGAAGTAATTTTTACAGAATAATTGTTGTTAGTTGTTCTGTGTATTTCATTTACAATTTGACTGAATTGTTGCTGTATTTCACCTAAATATTGTTCTGTGTGTATTCCACTAATGTAGACACAAATGACATTTTAACAAACGTCTTTTTTTTCTATTTTTGTTTTTAAAAGTTTTCAATGTTTGTAGTTTTTATTTTTTAAAATATAAACAAAAATCTGTTTATAAATTTTTATAAAACATTATTTAAAAAAAAAAAAACGTAAATGCTACCAAATACTACTTATGTTTTTTTTATTTTATAATATCTCAAATAGAGTGTTGGAAATTTGAAAAGTTAGCCCTGAAGTTTAAATATCATATTTTCTCCTTGCTTGTCAAACTTTAAGCCTGTGTTTGGAGAAAGAAGAAAAAGAAATAGCAAAGAGAAATGAAATTTATCTATACTATCTATCTATAGATGTAGTAGAGTATGAGAATTCTCCAAATTCTTATAGATTCTCTTTTTTACGTGTCACCTCTCAAGTCTCTCCTCTCACTTTTCTTAATTTTTAATTATTTATCAATTATCTAAATCTCAAAAGCCAAAATGATTATATATATTTAAATAAAATGATAAACATTTAGATATGAACAAAAATAAAATAAAAAGATAACTATTCAAATTTCAATCACAAAATAATATAAAGAGTCAAATAAAAGATTAAAAAAAATAACCAAATAAAAATATTACGAGTCAATTAATTTTAAAAATAAAAACGTTAACTATTTATATATGAACAATTAAAAATATTTCAATAAAAAAAATATTATGAGTCAAATAATTTTTAAAATAAAAAAGGTAATTGTTTATATATGAATAACAAAAATAATATAGATGAAAAAATATACAAAAAAATAAAAATATAACTATTTAGATTTGAAATGCAAAATGAAAATTCAAATAAAAGATAACAAAATATTTAAATAAATAAAAAAAAGATTAAGATTGGGATATAAATATCCCAAAAGATGATAGATTTTTTAACAATCTAAATTTATCTTTTGTTAGTTTGTTATAGAATTTCCATATATTTCAGCTTAATCCTTTTAAAGTTTATCTTCAAGTTGAACTTAATATCTTATCTTTTAAAATCATCAATTAATTATATATACAAATTTTATATATGATAGAATTCCATATATATCTTTGTTTAAGCATAATATTTTCAATATAAAAACAAGTTCCTGTAAAAGAAACCATGAAAAGAAGATTGGGGGAAAAACAATCAACATTGAGTCATTTCTGATCCCCTTTTCGGTGCCTAAAAATCTTAAATATTTTCTTTACATTTGAAATGTGTACTTGCATGAGTTTTTGCATTTGTGAGAAAAGTGAGTTTATGTAAATGGATATTATTATTTTATTTTTAAATTTTTTTGTTACATTCTTTATTTTTCCTTATTTATTTCTTTTGTTAATAATGTGTCATTTAATTGAGATTTTATTCTTTTTTTTATATATATTTATAAAAGCACTACTATTATCAATTTGTAATTCTCTCACTTATTGATTATTTGTGTTTATTTTTTATTTTTTTTGGTGCAGATGTTAGATTGAAAATGAAGAACACATCAAAATTTATTAGATATGGGTTTATACTTTAAATATATTTATCAGTTGATTTTTTATTGTTGATTATCCTGTTGAAATAATTCATGATTAAATTTATTTTTAGAAACTCATTTCCTTTGAGAACTAAACCACAAATTTCTTCTTTTTTTTTAATTTTTTTTTATTTAGATTCAGAGCAAACAGAAAATATCTAATATTTAAAATGTTAATTTTTTTTTGAATAATTTAAATATTTGTATTCTTTATGTGTGTCAATTCAAGTATAATGCATTTTCAAACATTTTTTTAAAATTTTTTTTATAATCATTCCAAACCTATTTGTGTTTAATGAATCAATATAACGAAAAAACAAATAGCATGTAAAAAATTTTAACCACCCACTAACTAAA